CAACAACAATAATAACCCAGTAGAATTCCATTAATGGGGTTTGGAGAGGGTAGTGTATACGCAGATCTTACCCCTACCCCGAATGAGTAGAGAGGCTGTTTCCGAAAGGCCCTAGGCTCAAAAAACAAAAAGACAAAAGGACAAAAAGGAGACAATATTAGTATCACAACAACAATCATAGGAAAAATAGGAACACCATGAAATCCAGAAGAAAGATGCAAAGCAAAGGGAGACAAGTGACCACATCCATTATCAAGTGAGCCGTAAAGGTAAGTTGTAACCACATCCATTAAATGCATGTCAAGCTTTTCATGGACAACAAGACTAATGAGATAACGAAATGTTATAGCATCCATAACAGGAGAATACGTCCCTTCATAATCGACACCAGGCCTTTGTGAAAATTCTTGTGCAACAAGGTGTGCCTTATATCTTTATACCTCATTTTTCTCATTCCTTTTACGTACAAAGACCCATTTATAGCCAACAAGTTTAACACCATTAGGTGTTTGGACTACAGACCCAAAAACTTCATGTTTCGCAAATGAATCCAACTCAAATTGGATGGCTTCTTGCCATTTTGGCCAATCACGTCTTTGTCGACATTCTCCAACAGATTGAGGTTCAAGATCCTCATTATCTTGCATAATGGTATATGCAACATTGTATGTAAAGACATAATCCACCACTATATTCAATCGATTCAAATTTGTCTCAATATCAATTGGATTTATTGATAGTTCCTTATTTTCTTGAGTCTCGAGCTCATCGATATCCTCATGAATCTCAGGATTGGTTAAATCATGGGTTTCTTTATGAGACTCTTTCGTAGTGTCATCTTGATCATTTATTTTTCCTTTTCTAGGATTTCAATCCTTAGAACCCAATGGTCTGCCACGCTTTAGGCGTGCTTTTGACTCATTAACTATGACATTAGAAGATTGTCCAACAGAGACATTAATACGGATTGGAACATTCTCTGCAGGGATATGTGATTTCGTTATCCTTTTCAGATCCGTAAATGCATCCGACATTTGATTTGCTATTTTCTGCAAATGGATAATCTTTTGTACCTTTTTTTTCACAAATAGAGGCACGTGGATCAAGATGAGATAATGATGGATTTTTCCACAAAATTTCCCGTTTGATTTCACCAATTTTTCTCCCTAATTTTGGGAAAAATGCCTCATCGAATCGACAATCTGTAAATCGAGCAGTGAACAAATCTCTCGTTAATATTTCGAGGTAGAGAATAATGAAGGGCGATTCAAACCCAACATATATTCCTAACCTTCTTTGGGGACCCATCTTGGTGCGATATGGCGGTGCTACAGACACATATACAGCATATCCAAAAATTCTTAGATGGGATATATTAGGTTCATGACCCAAAACTAATTACAATGGGGTATATTTATGATAATTTGCCGGTCCGAGATGAATTAGCATTGTTGTATGCAAAATGGTATGACCCCAAACAGAAGTGGGTAATTTCGTTTTCATGAGTAACGATCTTGCTATCAATTGCAGACGTTTAATCAAAGACTCTGCAAGGCCATTTTGAGTATGAACATGAGCTACAGGATATTCTACTTTTTATCCCAATTGATAAGAAATAATCATTAAATATTTGGAATGAAAACTCAGAAGCATTATCAAGTCGAATAGACTCAATTGGATTATCAGAAAACTGTGCCCGTAATCGAATTATTTGTGCCATTAATTTTGCAAATGTCAGGTTGCGAGATGACAATAGGCACACATGAGACCATCTAAAAGATGCATCTATTAAGACCATAAAATATCTAAATGACCCACTAGGTGGGTGAATAGGTCCACAAATATCCCTTTGTATACGTTCCAAAAATGCAGAGGACTCAATCCCAACCTTTGTTGGTGATGGTCTAATAATCAACTTGCCTTGATAACAAGAAGTGCAAGAAAACTCATTATTTAAAAGAATCTTTAAATTCTTTAATGGATGCCTATTTGAGTTCTCTATAATTCGTCTCATATTAATTGATCCAGGATGTCCCAATCGATCATGCCAAAGTACAAAACTATTGGAATTAGAAACCTTTTGGTTTACGATAGAATATACCTCAATTGCACTAATTCTTATCCAATACAGGCCACAAGATAAAGATGAGAACTTCTCAATAACCCTTTTCTGGCCAGAGACATTCTTGATAACGATGAGATATTCGAGATTATTCTCATCTATTATCTCAATATGAAATCCATTTCGACGGATATCTTTAAAACTCAACAAGTTCCTCTTGGATTTGGAGGAGAATATTGCATTCTCTATGATAAGTATTGTTCCCTTAGGCAGAGTTATATTAGCTCTTCCAGAGCCTTCAATTAGATTACTACTACCAAAAATTGTAGTAACATCTGTCTTACACATACTTAAATAAGAAAAATATTTCTTCTTTTTGAATATTGTATGTGTTGTACATGAATCAATTAAGCAAATATTTTTACAATTGAACTTTGATCCAAATTTTTTTTGAAAGATATCCATATTTTATTCCCATGGTTTGACATACAAAAGAAGTATATGAATAAATATTAGTATTTTTAGAGAAAAAGGAAAAGAAATAAAGTTAAACCAATAATTCAATAGTGATATTTTAATGTATTTTCTGGAAAATTCTAATTATTATACAAATAATTACGCAACAAAAATAATATAATTTTAAGTACATTACACATATAACTAATACAACTACAACAAATTTATTTATATGTATAATTTATTTATATTTTCCTACACATTGTATGAAAAATAATTGATCCGTATAAGAAAAGAACATACTAAGCTACTTCTCTTTTCTTTATTCATAATATTTCATCCATGTACATGAAAAAATATTAAGGGTGAAGTAACAAAAGTTGTTTCAGGGTGCTTCTAAATATTCTCTTAAAGAGATTTAAAGTAACGTAAAGGAAAATCAAAAGCGTTAAAAGATCACTGAGACTAGGACACTAATTACTTATATATTACTCCTTGTTTGTAAAATTTATGAAATTTCGGAAATACATATATTTTTAAAAACTACATAAGAAGTATTATTAAGTGCAATAAAAGTTACAAGATGTTTATTCATTAGATACTACGAATAGGAAAACATAAAAATTAAATTGCTCAATCATCTTTAACCACAGATCCATCACCGATCGAGTGATTTATTTTTCCATCAGGGTGCTCAAAAAAATCTGCCACATCCAAATGGGTGATGTCAAATTCATTGTCATAGACAAAATTAGCTTTAGGGGTTTTTATTCTTTAGAGATGCTTGATAAAGCTCAACCAAATATTTTAGTATGCGACAAATATTTACCCAATGCCCTTTTCCACTGCAATGATAACATTCAGTTTCTCAACTATTTGCCATTGTCCCTTTCCACTTTTGGTGGTTATTTTTCTTTGGGGGGTGATTAACACCAGAAAAATTTCTTTCTTGGCCACAACCACGACCACGACCACGAACAGGGCCACGACCTTTTCCACGATTAGAATAATGGGAATACACCTCATTCATTTCAGGCAATGGTGTAGACCTAGTGGGTCGATTTTCGTGATTTCTCATGAGCAAGTCATTGTTTCGTTCAGCCACAAGGAGGAAAGAAATCAACTCAGAATACTTCTTGAAACCTTTCTCTCGGTACTGCTGTTGCAAGACCATATTGGAGGCATGAAACGTTGTGAACGTTTTTTCAAGCATATCATAATCAGTGATAGTATCTCCACAGAGTTTCAATTTAGAAGTAATTCTGAACATCGCAGAATTATATTCAGAAACAGACTTAAAGTCTTGGAGCCTCAGATGGGCCCAATCATATCGTGCTTGTGGAAGAGTGACCAACTTTAAGTTGTCATATCTTTCCTTTAAGCCATTTCACAAAATAAGTGGATCTTTGTCTGTGAGATATTCTATCTTCAACCCTTCATCAAGGTGATGGCGCAAGAAAATCAAGGCCTTAGCATAGTCTTGGGTAGATGCTTTGTTTTTGTCTTTAATGGCGTCATCGAGACCCATTGCATCTAAATGGATTTCAGCATCCAACACCCATGTCATATAGTTCTTGCTCGAAATTTCAAGGGCAACGAACTTTCTTTTCATAATATCAGTCATAATTAAAAGAGGAGAAAAGTTATACCTTAGTCTTCTTAAAAAGCTTCTTGAGACGGTAGAGTCTCGTGCTGATAACGTGTTATAAAATATAACTCAAAGTAACAATATGGAACAAGGAAAAACAAGCTAAGAGATATAGAGAGAAAGAGATGAAAGATTCTTATTTCTTCTTCAATTGTGTATATTTTTCTATCTATTACAAGACTTTTATATATACATGAAAAGTAAAGAAAATATGTCATTGAATATGTCATTAAACATAAAAAATATATCATTGAATATGTCATTAAATATTTAAGATGAAGATTATGGGGGAAGAGTAGACATATACCGATATTTCTTATAACAATCATTCATTAGTTGAACATTGTCAAAATTTTGGAACGTTCCCTTGAGAAATATGGTCCGTCTGTTAGAAATAGCTCTTGTCCCACTTTAAATAGAAATAGATTTGCAACGTCTGGCTCAATTGATTTGTACAATAAGCGATAGGACAATAGTTTATTAAAATTAGATACAAAATTATAATTTAATTCTTACTTGTGTTTGAACAAGAAAAACATCACTTCAAATAAGTTTTTTAATATTTCAAATCACATTATTTATAAAAATATTAAACTTTAATATTTGAAAAGCTAATGAATATGCAGGCGTTTGAATATATTTGGTTGAAGTTGGAATATTTTTCTCAATTCATTTTAAAACTCGTCAACTAATTATCTTCTAATAATATTTTAAATATTTCTCATTTTGACCAATTATTTGCAAATACTGAATATTTGACAATTAGCCTAAAAATGTCCCAATAATCAAAACAAAAAAAGAGGTAGTTCACGTGAAGCGGGTGACATGAACCATAAGTTGTTGTGCCGATAAAGCAATCTGTGGCAGTAATCAATTCCTATGAATGCTTAGCATAAAGCACATGCTCCGTATCTCGGTATCTTCCTCCAGTGCACACAGTATTTTTGAACTAGTTTCAACAATAGTCCTGCTTCACTCTGTTTCCATTTCTCAAACTCTGCAACTATGGAGAGTGCAATTGCATTGACACGATTTTACCATCCATTACTTACTGGGAGTTACTCTCATCACCTTAGATCATTGTCACTTTTCAATTCAACACCTATCTTTCCCAAATTGTCATCCGTCAAATACCCTTTTGCGACAATTTCACCTGCTCGTTTCATTGTCACGGCCTCCTCTTCACCGTTATCTCCTTCTACAACAGTTGCCGAATCCCAGGGACTCGAGGTATCTAATTTGTTCGAAATTTCTATATATAATGTGTTGATTTTATGTATCTAATGGAAAATTGTAGCTTTACTATTGATTTGCTTGAATAGCAGATTAAATCTGTTCCTACAAAGCCTATTGAAGGTCAAAAGACCGGAACTAGTGGTCTACGCAAAAAGGTGTTTTCCCTTTTTCTTTTCTGTTTATTCAAATAATTTAATGCATACGGTTCGTTCTAATTACTTTTGCATTTTTTGTTTGTTTGTTTAGGTTAAAGTGTTTATGCAGGAAAATTACCTTGCAAATTGGATACAGGTATGGTTCTCTCTGAACTTGTAGTGATAATCAATTCCAGTGTACTCAACTCTGTGTAATTGTTTTATGATGTTTCAATACAGGCATTGTTTAATTCTTTGCCACCAGAGGATTTTAAGAATGGATTGTTAGTCTTAGGAGGCGATGGTCGATATTTCAATAAAGAAGCTTCACAGGTAGTGGTCAAATTTTCGTACATAATCTGTGTTTCATGTGTATCCTGATTCCTGAAGAACTATTTGTGGTTTTCTGATCCCTAATGCATCTTAAGCTACAATGCAGATAATCATTAAAATTGCTGCGGGTAATGGTGTTGGTAAAATATTGGTTGGCAAGTGAGTGTCCTAAATTACACTTATAGCAATCTTCATGTTCATCATAGCATGAATGAATTCGTCAAATTTCACATCCTAGTGATCTTATTGCTTGAAATAATCTTAAATTTTCAAAAAGAGGAACTTTTTAACTACAGTGAGTTATTAAGCACTTTGTTACTTTATGTACTGTGAAACTTAGTCCTGCCAATTTAATCTGTATAAATCTGTTCTCTATGATTTTGAGAAGATAGAAATACTCTTACTCAATCTTTATGTGCAATATAACTTAGAATTGCCTTGTCTAATTATAGTCTCCATGAGCCATCTGTTGTTGCAATCAATCTTTATTTCTTCTAAGAGCCCATATCCTTCTAGTTTTTATTCAACTGTTTGGATATAGCTAGATTGTTTCATTTCTTTTTCTGGGTTCCCTCGTTCTGGCATATTTCTCTGCTTATTTTTGTGCTCTTATCCAAAAAGTGAAAAGAAAATATTTGATATGTATAGATGACGAATCTCTGTTTGGCAGGGATGGTATAATGTCCACACCAGCTGTATCTGCTGTTATACGGAAGAGAGAGGTAATACTTCTGTTTTAATTATTTTATTTGCTTTCTCTTTGCTATTTTTGAATGACGCTTAAAGCTAATCCTCAGGCAAATGGTGGCTTTATAATGAGTGCAAGCCATAACCCTGGTGGTCCTGATTATGATTGGGGTATCAAGGTAAATTTCTAGTCAGCAAATCATGTACTGGAAATTGTTCTTAGCTGTCCCATTGGCTGCTAAAATATACAGTAAAAATTTGTTATTTTTTTTAAAGTTTTAAAAACTGGTTCCACATAGAATTTCCTAGATATGACTGATTTCTGATATTTAACCTCTCTAAACTGGCTATTCCAAGAACTTAGCATTTCTGATTGTCATTTTCTTTTGTCAGTTCAATTACAGCAGTGGCCAACCAGCACCTGAGTCTATCACAGACAAGATCTATGGAAACACCCTTTCTGTATGATCCCATCCGCTTGCGCTAAATAATACGCTATGCTATTTTTTGATTTAAATGACGTCTTGTAGCTGGAATACAACACAAGGTTTTTTAGTGCTGTATCTGCATAGACATGTGTAGTGTGGGTAACTGAAAGAAACTGTTATGGTTCATTGGTAAATGATTCGGCATCTGAATTCCTTGTTTCATAAGGGTTATGCAGATTTCTGAAATAAAAATTGCCGACATTCCTGATGTTGATCTTTCTCAACTTGGAGTCACAAAATATGGAAATTTTAGTGTGGAGGTGGTTGACCCTGTGGCTGATTATTTGGAGCTAATGGAGGTGAGTGGCTGAAATTTTGTATCTCTGAAATTTTTTAAATGCACTCCATGATACAATCTATAACTTAACTGATAATGTGCAGAATGTATTTGATTTTTCGCTCATTAGAAGTCTTATTTCGCGACCAGATTTCAGGTGCGTTGCTTTATGTCTTGCCGGTTATGAAGCATTGTTTTGCTTTGTGCTTTTATGTACTTTTAATTTGCTACATCATATTTCCCCTGGACATTCCTCGGAGTTTGTTCCTCCATAGTTTCATATACTGTTGATTTCTATAGCCTGTTCCCCAAACGGATGACTGCTGTGGTAGACACACTTTTCTTCAAATATCTAGACTTAACTAATTTCTTCTGACAAGATGATAATTAACTTCAATCACCTAGTATATCCTGAACCCTTTTGAAGCGATGTTGACTATGCAGTATTGAATCTGGTTCTGCTTCTAGCATAACTATATCCATAGGTGAAATTTGGAAACCATAACTTACAGTAAAGGATAATTAGGAGTTTTTAGATTCAGATGAGACATCATAAGTCCTGTGTACGTAATTATCATTAGTCATATGTAAGAGAAATGTAGAATATCGACGTGAATATTTATAAGGCAAAAGTATTTCATAAGCTCTTAGACCAGCAAAACATCATATTCTTCTGAAAGCAAAGTTCAGTCTTACCATTTTCATTTGACTGTCTTCTAAGATGGTAAGGGAAATGTAAATGCATGCCATACTATTGCTGCAGTTCTGTCCAGCAGCAATGCAAATTATGAATAGATGTTTGCAGGATTCTACGTTATTCCTACTTAAAGTAGATCACTCGCTGCATTTTTAGTAGGATTGAACTAAGTCATAGCATTACTAAGAAAGGGTTACTTTTTTGTTTTTTGAGGGATCCATCCCTCACTCTGTGTCTGCAGCTTATAAAAGCCTTTCAATGAAAAAAAAACGATTAGGAGAATGGTGTCATGGTTTGAATTGGAGGCCATTAGAGGCTAATGGTCACCCCCCTTGATAGTAGGAGGCGATTTTAGTGTGATAAGATACTCAGAAGAAAGGAGCCACCAAAACTGATTGGTTAGATCGATAAGAGAGTTTTTTGATTTTATTGAGGAAATGCAGTGGATAGATCCACCTTTGCAGGTGGGAAGTTCTTAATTCATTTGGTTCCAAAGGAGAAAACTCAAGGGTGGCTTCACGAATTGACAGATTTCATTTCTGGTCGAATGGAATGAGGAATTCAAATATGTCAAACAAGCTACACTACCAAGATCGGTTTCTGATCACTAGACCTTTCAATTAAGCTGCGAGCAAACAAGAACATCTGAACATATGGTTGGAGGTTGAAGTTTTGTAGATATGACGAAAAGACTGGGGGATTCATATGAGGTGAGAGGAAGGGCTGATACTCTGTTACAATATAGCAGCACCAGATGGTCCGGATCTAAATTTATTTTAGTCTTTACACCTAATTTTCCTGGTTTTTACATTATGATTACAAACTCAAGCTGCTGAAACAGGATTGGAAGGCTTAGAACCTAAATACATCTGGTCATCCAGACAGAAGGAAAAAACTGATTCTGGAATAGATACAAGACTTGGATAGGCAACAGGAAGAAAGGAACTTATCTGCAAAAGAATCCTCATATACACCAAAGCCAAGAGGTAGCCAAGTTTAAAGAGATACCTTGAGGCAAGATGGTAGATGCTTCTGGCTAAACAAAGTGACAAGACCACATGCTTGATTCACAAAATGCAAATGTTCAAAAGAATTACAAGCATGTAAAATTGTCATCATCCAGATGATATGGGAGTGGAAATAATCAACTCTTTTCTGCAAATGTTCACAAGAATTACCAGCATATAGAATTTTCATCATCCAGATGATATCAGAGTGGAAATAATCAACTCCTTAATTACCAAGAGGAAGTATTGGAGTTCTGCTCTTAAAAGCGTAAACCTCTATATCTTATTTGATAGTGGAAAGAGAGGTACTTTGACATTTTATCATAGGTGTTCGCCAGTGATCAATGGGGATCTTATGAAAGCGTTGAACGACTTTAATACTTGCTAGGGCTGGAGCCAAAGAATTGAGGGACTTCAGCCACTCATAGAAAAATAAAAAAAGTGATCAGCAAACTAATTGTTGTCGCGCAGAATGCTTATATCTAAGGAAGACAGTTAATAGACTCAATGTTGATCACCACTGAATATCTAGAACCCAAATATAGGAAGGAGACAAGGTATAATTGCATTGGTATGCATCCTTGATCTAGAATAAACTTATGACCACATTAATTGAGAGTTACTCCTCAACCTATTGAAGAATAGTGTTCTGGAGACAAATGGATGAAAACCATTAAGTTTTCCATCTTTGCTATTAGATTCAATTCTGATTAATAGAAGATGGTCTTTTTCTCACTTTCATATTCTTGTTGGTAATGTAAGGATTAAGATGCTGAACATAGTTAGAGAATAGAATTGGACAGGAAGTTTCTCTATGGAGGTGGACAGGACCAACACTTTTGCTATAATGCAATTGTTATATGCTGATGAGACTGTAATCTTTTGTGATGCAGAGAGGAACAACTGAAATATCTCAGAGTAATTTTATTGGAGTTTGAGGCAATTCAGGACTTAATAACAATAATAATCTGGCAAAAAACTGCCTCTATCTAGACTCTAGTTAATGATCTCTAGAATATACCAACAGCTGGCGAAATATTCGATTATGAAGTCTGATTATTCCCCAATCCCCAGTACATATCTAGGACTACCTCTTGGGGCTAACATAAGGATGCAATTGTTTGGAAAGGAGCGGGTGATTAGTTTGAGTGTATATCAGATTGGACACAACAATATTTATCTTTTGGTGAATTGGTGGAAGGCTCACACTTATTGATAGTGTGTTGGATGGTATTCCAACCTACGTGAGGTCTCTATTTTTACTACCCATTGAAGTGGAAAAGAAACCGGACAAGCTTACAAAGGATTTTTCCGGAAGGAAACAAGGATAGGAAGACTTTTCCTTGGTTAAGTAGAATCGAATTGACTCGTAAAACGCATTTGGTGGCTTCGGGGTAGAATTATGAGGTTGCTTAACAAAAATTTGCTATCGAAGTGGTTATGGAGATACAGTTGGGATCAGAAGAACTCTGGAAGCAGGTTATCCATGCAAGAGTATGAAGTAATGAGCCTGGTGCTCAAGACCAGTGACATGGTGATATGGTATTGGTTCTATCGAAGAGTATAAGAAACTTATTGTCCCTCCAAAAATTAGCTTCTCACTTCTGTTACCATTCTCAAAAAAAAAAAAAAAAAAAAGCTTCTCAGTAGGTAATGGAAGGAAGTTGAGACTTCGGCCTGATGATTTGATACACCACATACCTCTGAAAGATGAGATCCCGGATTTGCTACTATTGCTTGGTACAGTTCTACTCATGGATGGGAACTATCTTTTTTAAGAAACTGGGAAGATTAGGAAGTTAAGAGGATAGCTTAGACCTTGAAATATTGGAAGGAAAACGAGTTTCACCAACTGTACCAGATTCTCTATGGTGAAAACACCAGAAGGGCAGGAAGGTAGGGTATAACTTCTATCTTTATCTTACATCTCCTCGGTTAAATGGCCTTTCAAATCATTTAGAGAACAAAAGCTCCTCCAAAAGTGGTTGGGTTTTGTTGTATTGAAAAGCATGAGGTGTTTGACGCAAGCGAAACTTGCAGAAAAGCGGCATTAAGATTTATGCCAGATGTTGTATGTGTGTAATGAAGATATATACTGATGCATTGTGCAGTGGCAAGGTAGCTTTGCATTTTGTTTTTGATCCTAGATAGGCTGAATCGGGTGATGCAGGGAGGTTAAACTGGTAAGGAAGCATAGTTAACAAATGAAAGAGTATGTGAAATACAGTTCCTGCATTTGTTCTAGGATAGTTTGGACACAAAAGAGTAGGAGATGCTTAGGTGATGCCAATACATGGTCTTAGATATAAATGCTTGTATATTTTGGCATTTGGGTGTATTTTACTGTATGTATATGATGTAGAAACACCTCTAGAATTCCTTATCTCACTTAGAGTTCCAATAAGATGCTCTTTCAACTGAAACCTCTTTCCAGTGCTATTCTTACCTACTTAAATTTATAAAAGGAACCAAGTTTATCCTTGAAATATTCAAGTTTGTATAGTAAACCTTTACCTCTTGTTTCGCTTCCACTTAGAGTACTGTATTTTCTCAGCTCTTCTCTTGAGTTTCAATTTGTGTATGCAAATGAAGTCAAATTACTCTCTGAATTATGGGTGCATTCTTCTATGGTGGATGTTCCTCTTGAAATCTATGTTGCTCGGACTCTCTGAAAATGTTGCCGGGTGTGTGTCAGATCCTCCAAAAATAGTGTATTTTTGGAGGATCCGACAGGGGTGCGGCATCATTTTGGAGAGTCCGCGCAACTTAGCTTGAAATATATTTCGTCGGGTAGTTCAACCTTATCGATTTCACTTAGTTACTTTATGACTTTATCTCTATGCCTGTTTTGTCCTTGTAAGGAAGGAGAAATCCTGTTTGACTGAACACAACCTAATTGAGCTACGAAGAAATCACTGTTTAACTGACTATAGCAATTCAAATGCAATTTTGTAGGTAAATGAATAAACTTTAATAAGTTATAAATTTCTTGCATAATCTCGATGCTCAGTAAAATGAGCTTACACTAAAGGACAATATTTATTATTTTGCATCCTTTTTCCCTTTTTCTCTCCGCCGGATGTCTTTGCTCATGCTTATGCTTATTAATGTCTGATGCTGCTGACAGGTTTACATTTGATGCCATGCATGCAGTTACAGGGGCTTATGCAAAGCCCATTTTTGTTGACAAACTAGGAGCTAGCCTGGTATGTATGTATGCCGTGGAGTTGTTTCTTCAGCTATTGGACTATCTTGCAATTTCTTGGTTGTAGCTTTATCATTTTTGTATGTGTTATGTAGGAGTCTATTGCAAATGGAGAGCCACTGGAAGATTTTGGGCATGGTCATCCAGACCCTAACCTTACGTAAGAAAAGAACGTTTTATTGAAGTAGATCTGCTTTAACTTCTTGAAAAGAACTAATATATTTTAGTTATTTTGGTCAAGATATGCCAAGGATTTGGTGAATATCCTGTATGGCGAGAATGGACCCGACTTTGGTGCTGCAAGTGATGGTATGCTTAAAAACCTTCTTGTTCAACACTTCACCAAAAGTTGTCTTTCAATTAACTGGAGAACATATATGATATGCTTGGATGAAGTTCAAAATCTATGAGAACCTTATATGAAAGAAAAATAATTAGAAGAGAATCAATATTAGAAGCCATCAAAAAACATTTAGTTAGATATTCCTCTCCTTCCCACCACTCCACCCCAAAGTCTCTGAAATGGAAAGAGATCAGAAAGAAAGGAGCAGGACAATTAGTCTCTACAAAGATTAAGTGGTCACTTTCTTCAATTGCATGGTTATACTACCGTTGAAAGCTTAATCACAGCAATTTGCTTCTTCCTTTCACTAGTTTGCACACATCGCTTTGCACATGATTCTAATGGAGAATGAAAATAAAAATGTCCTGACCATAATCAATTAAACGTTGTAATTTGTATCTTTATTACACATGAAAAGAAACATTATAATGTCTCTGGATATTTCCTTGTATAATTATTTAGAAATGATTCTGAAGAGTTTTTAGAAGACCAACTATTCTACTGTGCTGTTTTTCTAATTTATCCCGTTAAGGCCATTTCTTTAGTATTTCAACTGTATCATAATTTGTACTTCTTGGTTATACTGTCTTAATCTCTCTTGGCTAGTTGGCTTTCTTCCCACGTAATTTATGTCAGCTGGTTGTTTATGTGCTACATGTATCATTTTTCTTAAAATAATGAAAGTGGTGCCAGAGTCACTGTACATGCACTTCAACTATTTCGCGTTGTACCCATGCCTCCTATCAACGTATATATCGTGTAACTCTGACCGCCAGGCTTAGGCAGATAGAAAGAGATCACCAAGCGGTAAATGAAGTAAGGGAACATCAACGGAGTTTAGGGTTCATATCCCAACATAGACCAAAAGAATGACTTGAAACCTGTTTGGAAACTAATGTGTAATTACTAGGGATTACACAATATAGTAATCATAATGATTTGTTTGTTTGCTATAATGTAATTATAACGTAACTTTTAGTGTCATGTTTGGTTGATAAGTGCAATTACATAGCTTTATTTTTTATATTTAAATAAAACTAATTATAAAAAATTAAATAAACTTTTTTTAGATGGACATGTAAATAAGTTGCAATATATGACAAAGATACATGTATATAAGAAATATAGAAAATGAAAAAAGAAAGAATTTGAAAAGTCATGGTGTAATTTTTTTTTTTTATCAAAAAATTACACCATGTAATTACCACCAATTCTTTACCGCCTTTGAGAATTGAAGAATGTAACTGCTCTCCTTCAATTGCACTCCAATGCCAAGCTAGTCAAATAATTACTCGGCCAGACAAACATGTTAAACCGTATAATTACACCCAAATCCATTACAAGGTAGCCTTCCAAATAGATATTAAGTGATTTCTTTTTGTCTGCCTAAGCTTTATTGAATAGACTTATTCAATAAATGTGCTAGTGGGAGGTAACTAATCACCATCGGAGTAGTCTAGGTGCACGACAATTGGCCCAAACGCCATCTATCCTTTTTAAAAAGAATTTGATCTAGCTTCATTGACCACTAGGCTATACCGTTAAGTGCGTGCAAAATGTAGCCTCTTGAGGTTTGATTTTCGTTTATTTATTAGAATGACCAAGAATATTTTAGATGTTAACAGAAAGGTCAAAACTTATTTGCTTGTCATAAGCTAAATCATGATGTTCTGTTTGTAAATATTTTAACTCCATAAGAGATTTAAAGCAATTTCCTTTATAAGGAATAATTAGAACAAACCCTGTCATCAAAACATCTCCTATTTCTCTCTATCCAAATTGTCTACGCAATGCACGGAGGGATAGTACGACCGATCTTTTTAATGTCTTTTCTCATTTTTAAGATTCTTTTCTTTATTTTTCTTTTTTGTAAGACTGCTTTAAGGGTGAATACCACATGAAAGAGATATTTTCAAAGGTTTTAAAAGAAAGAGATATTTCCAAAGTATGTCAAAACTCATACATAATGAAATCGCTGAAAATCTTTTGTCATCATATTACGTAAATAGTATCAAGTCGAGTATTCAATTTGGAATTTACGAAATTAAGTTAAAACTTTATAGGGACTTCCTCTTCTTTTTAGGCTTTCAATTCAAAAGGAGTTGGTGCATTATTTTTTAGTTTTTCGTTAAAATTCCTTAGAAGTTTCCAAAATTTACAAGAGGTGAAAATTCAATTCAAAAGTTTTTTTTTCTTTTAACCTATTAGAAAACCCCTTTTCCTTTACCATGCTCTTTCTGGGTTTTAGTATTAGCTCAAATAAATTGTAGCTAATTAAAAATTAGTTACTCTTCATATAAATCACTAAGATTAAAAATTGTTTCATTGGTGGAATAAAATAGGGTTCACTTTTTTATATGTTACCGTTCTCAAAAAATAGGTTAATTTTTTTATTTTAATCTAATTCTGGCTTTTATTGATGTTAAACACTTTAAACACAATTGAATATGGAGGAATTCCTAATTTCTATGTTTGTGAAATTTGTAAGAATCTCACATTTGTTAAGTGTATGGGTTGTAGTTCCGTATGGTTTTGGATAATCTTCATATTTCGAATTAGCTTTTGGGTTGAGTTAGGCCTAATGCCAATTTTCTTAACGTGGTATTAGAGTCAGATGGGCTGTATTCTCCTCTACTTGAGCTAGCTTTTCAAGTTAAGTTAGACTCAAGGTCTATTTTCTTAACAACAATTAATTTAAAAATAATTTGTAGGTTACATTTCTTATTATGGGAGGGATTAGGATATAGTCCGAGACACCTTTGAGTTCCGTTCCAGTAACAGAATCATGAAGATTTCCTGTGGGTTATGGACTATTGAGTATTGGAAAATGGTGCGCTTACTTAGAGGCCTCGCTGCATGTTCCCTTAGATTTTGAGGGTCTCAGACTGCTTGCTGGAAAACAATATTACACCCATAATACATTGATTTGGGTGTCATCGAATTCAAAGCCTATTAATCACACGGGTATTACCTAAGCTTTAGTAGAAGGCGAAGCAATAGTTATCTCCATTCTCATTGCATGGTTGCGTTACACCGATTCTACTTAAGCATCAACTTTGAAGCATGCACACGGATTTAGTTGAAGATGGATAGGCTAATGTTAAATTTGTCTTTCGGTGATTGGTGGTGGAGTTTTGGCCGTAATCTTATGGTGTGCATCCTTTATTGAAATGGTTAGTAGATAATGCCAGAAAAGGTCTTTACTTAGTAAGCAATCAAATGCATTGTCTTCACCAGCAATTCCCATAGCACTTCACACAAATGTCCTCTTGCTATTTCAGTTTGCTACGTTGTTATGCATTTTTTGCTAGAAATTTATCTTTTGTTGTTTGAATATCGAGCCTTTCTAGTGGGGCTTGTTACACTCTACGCAGTTAATTGTGTAAAAGTTCACTGATAAATGCAAAGCAGAAATATATATTCATATTTCATACACAGGAAACCTAAAGACAAATTCTAATTAGTCTAAGGTTTTTGTGTGGGGTTGATAGGGATTTTACCGATGCTGAAGATAGCTTGCTTACCAAGCCGCCCACTTGAGAAGCTAATCGCCAGGAAAGAAGCGAGGAGGGGGTGTTTCACTTGGAATAATTTCTTAAGTTAGTACAAATGAAAATCTGATAAGTAGTACTGAAGGGTCCATTTGTTCTTGTTGAAGCTCAATTATAATGAGAAAAAGGAAAGAGTTTGTAGTTCAAACCCAATCAGCGTGAAGGTAAAGCAAGGTGGATCCAATTGTGGCATAATTTTAATTAATTGTTGTACACATGGGAGGCTCAAGGGGGAGGTTAGTAAAGCCTTTGCTTTGGGCCCGAAGAATTTTAAATAGTAGATTTTATAATTTTATTTTTCCTTTGTAGATACTGAAGTTTGTAAAAAAAGAAGGAAAAAGGTACGAAATCTGTATAAAGGAAGTTTAAAGACTGTATAAATATTTTAGAACTTTAAATTAAACTACTAAAATCTTTATATAAGTTAAAAAAAAAAAATTCTTACAACAAGGTCCAAGGTAATGTTTTGCAAACACATGGCCGACATCTTATTAATTTGAATGAATCATTATTAATCTAAATAATAATATACTATACCTTAAAGGCTTTATCTCTTGTAAAAATACTACACTATAAACAAGTACGAAAAAAGAAAGGCGACACTAACTTCTTGCATATATTTGTGTGTATGTGTTTAAGACACTTATTAAGAGTTGGTTTTAGGCCAGTACACGTTGACAAGAAATAAGGTGGAAGATTTTTGAGGGATAGAAAGAAACATAATGATAAATAACATACATCAACGACTTGAGCTTCATGTCAGCTTATTTATATTTTTATGTCTACCTAATTATCTATTTCCCAGCTATAAGTGAAGTTTCGCGTTAACTTCTTCCTATTGTTCATATCCTATATAATAAGAAAGTTCCTATCATATCTATGCCAAGTTAGTCTGATTATATACTGCAATCTTCTGCCATGTGGAAGTCTGATTTTCAATTGTACACTTACGCAGGGGATGGTGATAGAAACATGATTCTTGGAAGACGCTTTTTTGTTACTCCATCTGATTCTGTTGCAATTATTGCTGCCAATGCCCAAGATGCTATTCCATATTTTCAGTCCGGGCCTAAGGTAGAAGCACTTAAGCTTATCATGCACCTTTGGCTTTGATCCTTACACACCACAAAGTTGATGCATATACCTTGTAGGGTTTAGCTCGATCGATGCCCACTAGTGGTTCTTTGGATCGTGTTGCTCAAAAGCTAAACCTCCCCTTTTATGAGGTTAGAACTTGTTTACTGCTCTTTAGTTTTTGATGATGTTGCACTCTTTAACTATTCTTTTCCAACTATGCCCTTAGGTGCCAACTGGGTGGAAATTCTTTAGTAATCTAATGGATGCTGGAAAATTGTCAATTTGTGGTGAGGAAAGTTTTGGGACTGGTTCTGACCACATCCGTGAAAAAGATGGTATATGGTATGTTTCTATGTTCATCCATGATGAAAACTCCTTTCTTAAGTTGTTTGCGGCCGCCAAATATGGTTAAACATTAGTTTCAATGTGTTTTTTTCCTTTACCTCATCTGGATATTGTGGAATAAAGGTAAATAAGAATGAGAACATTTATCTCTTACATTGTTAGTAATACTATGATGGTATTGTTGACTGTACCCATTTACTCAAATCTCATGCGGTGGAACTGCTGTTGGTTTACCCTTCCATTCCATCTTAAATGATGCCATTGGATATTGCTATGTGTCCTTGCTTAGACCCTATGGCGATATGAGAGCTTATTCATCCTTAAGAGATTCTTCTCTTAACCCGTATCACCAAAATGAGTTGTTGCTCTTCTATGCTACATTTTAAACTTTCCCCAAGCCTTAGTATAACAACAATCAACTCTTTTTGTTCTTACTTTTTAAATATGTAACTATAGGGCTGTTTTAGCTTGGCTTTCAATACTTGCAAATCGAAACAAGGACAAAAGATCAGGGGAGAAATTGGTTTCCGTTGCTGATGTTGTGACGGAGCACTGGGCCACTTATGGAAGGAATTTTTTTTCGAGATATGACTATGAGGTAAGCACATTATGTTATGTGATGACTTTCCGTATTTGATAAACATCTTTTTACATCTATGTTAGTTGTCTTTCGGTGTGTGTCATGGATTACCTAATTGTTCAGATGATGTTTAATTGCAACAATTTGCCATAATTCTCTAACCAGGAATGTGAATCAGAAGGAGCAAATAAGATGATAGAGTATCTTCGGGATTTGATTTCTAAAAGCAAGGCCGGTGATAAGTTTGGTAAGTTATCGTTTTTAAGTTAAATTTTCCAAGATTACAACATTTTAAGTTAAATTTTCCAAGATTACAACATTTTAAGTTCTTTAAGTACTGAAGGTTCTCTTGTAGGAAGTTATGTCCTGGATTTTGCTGATGACTTCACCTATACTGATCCTGTAAGTTCTGGAATTTCTTAGAAATGAGAATGTTTAACTATCAACTGTTGAATTTTTTGATTAGTTGTGTGCATTTTTCAGGTTGATGAAAGTGTCGCATCCAAACAGGGAGTTCGCGTTGTTTTCAGTGACGGGTCCCGGATCATCTTTCGACTATCGGTCTGCATTGGTTCCTTATGTTAAATCCCTGAGAATATAGTATAACCATCTGTTTCAAATTGAGTGTCATTTTGATTTCAGCCCCATTTCAAAATTAAATCTGCTTCACCACAGAAATTGTAGCTCCACAGTCCATTCCCAAACCACTATTTGTGAAAAAATCTATATAGTCTCCACGTCCATTGTTTTTGAAAATTGCTACTGGAAATTATTGCTCCCTGATTGTTACTATTTGATGCTACTCTTTCTCCCCTTTTACTGAAAATTGTTGCCCCCTGATTGTTACTATCTGATGCTGCTTTTTCTCCTCTTTTTCCTTATCGTCTTTTGTCTCCCCCCTCTTTCTTCTTCTTCCCTTTTCTTCCTTTCCACCTTTTCTTGAGCCGAGGGTCTATCGGAAACAACCTCTTTAGCTCTCCAAGTAGGGGTATGGCCTGCGTACACACTACCCTCCCCAGGCCCCACCTGTGAGATTATACTGGGTATGGTATTGTTGTTCTATCAAGTTTTCATCTTGAAAAGCATGTTAGGGGCCAAATGAGAAATTGAAGTTGATATAGAGGGACTATCATTTTATTGTGTTGTGTGGGCTTTTGTCTCCAGTCCCTTTTATTTTTTTATCCATAAATTACTCTATGTAGTTTATTAATGGAAACCTCAATTTTACAGGGTACTGGTTCTGCTGGTGCAACAGTTAGAATATATATTGAACAATTTGAGCTGGATGTATCCAAACACGACATGGATGCTCAAATTGCGTTGAAACCATTGATAGGTAGATTGTTCATCTACGAGCTTAACTATGTAATATTCCCATTCCTCGAAAATTTAACTAGTTATCTTTTGCAGATCTAGCTCTTTCTGTATCAAAACTAAAGGACTTCACAGGAAGAGAAAAGCCAACTGTCATCACATAAAGGCATAGATATCTGCAACTACTATTGCTTAGTTGGGAGCCTTAGCAGGTTGGATGCTTCCTTTGTTCCTGAATTTTACATGATATATGGTTCGTCCTTGTTTGGCTGCATGTAGACAGTCTTCTGGGACCAGAAATTAGAATCATGTAAATTATCCCATGAAAACTAAAACATATGACTGGAGTACCTAATCAATAGAAAGCTGCTGCACTATATTTTAATTTCTTTCTAGAATTTTTTTTTATTTTTTTTATTTTTATAAATTTGTTACAGTCAACCCTTTTGACTTATGGCATCCTCTTTGCGACATTAGAAATCGAGATTTCCAACTAACATGTGCCTTCTTTTTCTGAGCTATATTCCAAATTATCTGTGTGTTCCATTAAATTGATTCCTACTATGTCAGTAATTATGATGCATGGTTCATAGTTCTGAATGATCTTCCGTGGTAGCTTAGTCTATCTACTTAGTCTATCTTGGCCAAAATAATTGGGCTGTCTCAGCTACTGTAGACAGCTTATTCCAGTCTATGTGACCATCCCCGTGCTCGTACTGGCTATTTGTGATGGCGTATTTGTGGGATCACTCAAGTTCCTTGTGAATTAATTATAGTCGATTTCAGGTGGTTTTAATGAGATTCTTGGGCATCTCTCTTTCTGATCCTCATCTTCATAGTTTATATACTAAAATCTCTTTCCTGGTGTTGTTGTGCATTATTGAAAATTGCCTTGAAAGGTTATCATCCTATATCTAGATGAGCACTTTCCATAAGCAATTAGTTTTTTTCTTTTAAAAGAAACTGCAAGGATAAAAGGACTTATTATATTAAGTACTTGCTATTATGGTAGTTATTTTAATGTGTTGGATAGAATATATCAGCTTATAAACACTATGAATAACATACTATTCTGGCCAGCATATGCGAAAATCTGTACAGAAGCATGGGACCTTTGCTTAAAGTAGTCATGTAATACTGCATTAATGTCAAGGTTGAATCTAGGGATAAAAAAACTCTCAATTTCCTCACTAGACCTAAATGCTTTCTTTCACGTTAGATGGAATGGAACAAGGATCGCTCATATGAAGTGAGGTTTTCAATGAATTTTTCTACTATGAATTATCCATATGTCATACTACGGAAAAAGTTCACTGATGAGGTAGCTCAAAATTGTACAAGAAAAAAATGCATAACACAAAATTGAAGCTGGTCTGGGTGGATAAGTGATCGAACTTGTCTTCCAAACAGCTCAATAATCTCTTCTTCAAGTAGCCAGCTTCTATAAAAGGATCAAAAGTGAAAAAGCTATGAAGGGCGGATCAAAATTAGTAAACAAAAGTCGAGATTTTCTTGCTAGAAATCTTGGCTCTATATAGTGTACGATATTCCATAACTAGTTCAGCTCCAACTTGTCCAGAAAAAGAGGCTATATGGAAATGGGGGTGTCTTTGTTCATATTGTGCATTGATGGGTGAATCCTGTGACTAGATTTACCTCCAGTAGATCACTGTAACATTGTCAGAGAAGCTTGAAAACATATCCAATAAGAAAAAAAGTTATAGAAAAGGCTCTTTAGGTTGTCATGTTATAACACGGAGAATTCAATCCTGGAATATTTACAGGTTATGTGTGTGTTGGGCAAGTGGGCTACTATGGATCAACTTGCAAGTCAGCTAATTCCTTTTCATGAGTTTAGCGTAGAGAAATCTTTAGCTTAATTTGGTTGAACCAAACCCATTCCAAGTTCAACCAAAGTAGGTTATTCTCAAGTTGGATTACCCTCCACCTTAAAATGATAGGTGCTGAGCTCAGTGGGTGATTTGTACTTTGTTTTTATGAAACATCACAGGAGTAATATTTTTTCCGTCGAAAGTTTAGAAATATCATCTCTTGGGCCCTCACTATATATAAGAGTAACCTAGTCCGTATCTGAATATTTGTGCTGGAAGAAGTCATATATTTGGAATATATGTAGTTTTGCGAATTTAGGAATTCTTAAAATCGAGCTTAAATTGCTTCAGATGAGAGAAATTAAGCTAGAACTAGATAAATTAAATCCTTGTCATGGTCTGTGTTTGAGAAAAATCTGCCAGTTACCTTTGCTTTTTAATTTGAGTTCGATACATATTTGATGCAGTTCTCTACAATTTTAGAGTACTGAATTTTATATATAGGGAACTTGAGTTTGTAATTACGTCGCTTTTGTTATCTTTTTTAATTTAATAATCTTATATTTTGTATACGGTCAAAATCGAATTTGCCCTTCGTGTGACTAATCAAGATTGGAGCATTATGGACCGAGGTTCGTCATTATAATATTGAGCGGTGATGTGAAGTTGGGTTGTCGAGTTCGAGACCCAGAGACCGATCAATACCAAGATCGAGTCAAGACCGATCAATACTAAGACCGGCCAAGATCGAGACCGAGTCAAGATCGAGCTCAAGACCTCGAAACCGACCAATACCGAGACCGGCCAAGATCGAGACCGAGTCAAGGAGCAAAGAGCCGTTATAACCGCATTTGGGGAGAGAATCTCGGCGGAAATCACGACTTGAATCAAGAAAAAACTAATTAATTAATTTATCATGGGATCTCCACTATATATTTTTAATTATATCCAAAGTAAGATTCCCCCATTATATCAAGAGTGGTTATCATCTGTAAAAAGGGGGATGGATACATGGAGATTCACTGAAATTTACATAACATCTAGCTAATATTATCCTCTTTTGGCTTTGATATTGATTCATCTTGTTCTCTTATCAATCACTATCTATCCAATTTGGGTTTGTATTCATTCTTTTTACAGTTAAAATTCGATATATTTTTACTTATTTTTCCAATTTGTACCAAGATATACCACGTATCCTTAGAACTATGTATAAATTCAACTCTATCCGTTTTTCGGGTAAACGGTTTGGCACCCACCGTGGGGCTAAGGATAATAGTGGTTATTTGGTACGAATCTATGTAAAACACACTATTTTACACTTGCTCTTGGAAGTGTCTTTGATTTCAGGTTAAAAACAACGAACTCTCAATTAATGGCCCTACCTATTAACAACGAAGCTGGCCTTCAAGATGAGAATAACAACCTGACGCCCGGAGATGAAAGACCACTCGTTGCCCCCGTTAGAACTCGGGCCGTAGATCCAATTGACGTTAATTCGCATATGGCCATTGAGGCGAACCAACGTTCTGACCCCGAAAACAACATTCATGGTGGAACTCGTTATGCAGTTCGAAACATCCAAAATGTTGGAGAAGATGGGATCAGCCTGCGCATGATTTTCGAAATGTTACAAGCTCAACAGGTAGCGATAGCTCAGTCGCAGAGCCAAACCCAGGCACCGAGCAGGCCTGAGCCCGGTCCACCCCGAGAAGTCACCCACAAAACGGGGCCAGCTGTAGTAAGGTCAAATGAACAAGAATCGGGGACTAATCCCGAAATTATAAAGATGCTCGAGGAACTGACAAAACGAATAGAGTCAGGAGAAAGGAAGATTGAAGCAAACGATAAAAAAATGGAAACTTATAACTCCAGGGTTGATCAGATCCCGGGGGCACCTCCAATATTAAATGGCTTGGATTCCAAATAATTCGTACAAAAACCCTCCCCCCTGAGCGCAACTCCAAAACCTATCCCCAAGAAGTTCCGCATGCCCGAAATTACTAAATATAATGGAATGATCGACCCCAACAAACACGTCACCTCTTACACATGTGCCATTAAAGGGAACGTTCTACAAGAAGAGGAGATCGAATCCGTATTATTAAAGAAGTTCGGGGAAACCCTGTCAAAGGGAGCAATGATATGGTATCATAATTTACCACCTAACTCTATTGATGCTTTTGCTATGCTTGCAGATTCTTTCGTAAAAGCATATGCCGGAGCCATAAAGGTCGAAACCAGGAAGTCAGACCTTTTCAAGGTAAGGCAAAAAGATAACGAGATGCTAAGAGAGTTCGTATCTCGTTTCCAAATGGAACGAATGGATCTACCACCGGTCACGGGCGATTGGACCGTTCAAGCTTTCACCCAAGGACTGAACGAACGAAGCTTGATGGCTTCACGACAGTTGAAGAAACATTTGATCGAGTACCCGGCTATTACCTCGGCCGATGTACACAATCGATATCAATCAAAGATTAGGGTCGAAGACGACCAGCTGGGTTTTGGGTCCATTATTAAAAGGGACATCGACCGAGAACCAATGTCGAACAGGGACCGATACCGACCGTATATCGGAGATCGTATGGGTAGCGAACCGGGACGCAACTCCGTACAAAGTGAAATGAGAGGTGATCGAGGCCAAGGGTCTCGAGGTTTGATGAACAATAATGGGTTCGACAGGCATACCGGGCCTAAGGAAGCATCGTGATTATCAGAATATAACTTCAACATTGATGCATCCGCCATCATATCGGCTATCGGACGCATCAAAGATACTAAATGGCCTCGACCTCTACAGTCCAATCCAACCCAGAGAAATCCCAATCAAATGTGCAAGTATCATGGCACCCATGGCCACAGAACGGAAGATTGCAGGCAGTTGAGAGAGGAGGTAGCCCGATTATTCAATGAAGGGCACCTTCGAGAGTTTTTAAGTGACCGGTCCAAGAACCATTTCAAAAAAAGAGAATTCAATAGACAAAACGAACAAGATCATCCACATGATCATCTGAGGGATATATGTCTCCCAGGGGCCGGTGCTTAAACGCACTAAGATGGCGATTATAAGAGAGAAGCGATCTCGAACTCAGTATTACATACCTAAAGGAACCTTGTCCTTTAGTGACGAAGACGCGGAATGAATCATGCAGCCTCATAACGATGCACTGGTAATATCTATATTTATGAATAAAACTCAAGTTAAGCGTGGGTTAATTGATCCAGGTAGTTCGGCCAACATCATCCGATCAAAGGTCATAGAGCAACTCGACCTACAGGATCAGGTCGTGCCTGCAACCCTGGTACTAAATGGATTCAATATGGAGTGGGAAACTACTAAGGGTGAGATTATTTTGCCAGTAAACGTGGCCGGGACCATCCAAGAAACGAAGTTCCACGTAATCGAAGGCGACATGAGATATAACGCCCTGTTCGGGAGGCCGTGGATCCGCAACATGAGAGTAGTACCCTTGACCCTTCACCAGGTTCTAAAATTCCCAACACCAGAGGGAATCAAAACGGTCTACGGGGAGCAACCAGCCGCAAAGGAAATGTTCTCCATCGATGAAGTGATTCTGATACCATCACTATCATCGACTGAGGGAT